TTTGGATATACCAGATTATCAGAAAAATTATACATTAATTAATTCATTGTTGTCCTTTTCGTTGCTAAGTTAAAAAACAACTTTTAAATATTCTTTCTCTGTCGACAAAATGTTGACTAATTCAACGCACAAAATATTGAGCACCTTCAGAAATGTAAAAATATTGATAAAGATATATTTAAAAGGATGCATTAAAATCTAACTCTTAAGAACCAAATAATGCCTCAGGATTCATTTAAAATGTTTGCACAGGGCTATATATGTCAGATTTCTCTGTGTTTTACTGCCCACTCTTCAAGTTTAACCATCCATCACAGTAGTGTGTATGGCTCTTGACCTTGGCTGTTGGCTGGTTGACAAATAACCCATCATGTGATGTCTTTTGCTCTATATGCTGCTGTTGTTGACTCTTCTGGTGTGTTTGTGCCTCTGCTCTGTTATTTTCTGTGTTGTGTGGGCCAGTACAGAGCTTATCTGGGCTGTTCTTTGCTGATCTCACTATGTTCATTCGGTGTTCTAAGCTGCTTGGGCTCTAGCCACCAGCAGAGTTGATATACCCCCCTCCCCCCGCTCAATTCCCACATCTCTCACTGTGATTCATTGGCTGTTTGTCTTGCCAATCTATCTGGGCCAACTCAAAAGGGTGTACACCATGCTAAGACACATGGCAATTTTCTAGCAGGGGGGTTGCATTAACCTGCTCAGGAAAAGATATGAGAAATGGTGGTCTAACGGGGGGAATGGTATTACAATTTCCGGGTGGGGGGGTTGATTGGGGGGGTTAGATGTTCATCTAGTGTGAGAGACATACATTTTCAAAAAGCATGGCAGACATTTTTTTAAGAACATACTGTACTGTAATAGAGCTCTGCTGACTGATTTCATTTTCAGAAAACAGATTGGAATAAAGGGATAAAAGGAGTTTCCAGATTATAAATAATGTGGCTAATGTCAAATCATGTAAAATATAATAAAGGAAAAATAATCTAAATCATATTTACCAACAGTTAGGGCAAAATTTAATAAAATCTCCCAAAAGATTATTGTCTGGCTGTTTTTTTATCCAAAAGTGATACATGTAAGGGTATAGTTTTGACAAGAGATTACTAGTTTGATGCCACGAGCGGCTAAAAACTGATCCTTTTAGATGACATATAACAAATTTGATCTTTTCTCTAACAAAACAACTTTTTAGCCACAATCAGTGACCACTTAATTATGTGCAGCTGTTGAGCTGCTTGCCAAGCACAAAAACCAAATCAGGCAAACATATGGTTACAGCTTTCTTTGTTTAAGACAACTGAAGTTTAAACTGAGTACCAGAATGGTGAAAAAAGAGATTTCAATAACTTTGAACATTACAGTTTTTGGTGTACCGTGTGTTTTAGACAGTACCAATCTACTGTTTTTTTTTTTTATGGTTTTCTAAGATTCACATACAATGTCCTGAAAAAAGGGAAATATCTGAACAGAGAAGCTGTGAGGCTGAAAATAAGTTCTTCACTTTAAAGGAGAATCAGTAGCCTTGTTTGAGATGATATAAAGGTAACAGTGAATGAAATATCCACCTGTTACAACCAGTGTAGGTGAAATACCCAGACAGGTTATAGGGTATTTCTGAGTATAAATCAGCCTGATTTATACTCAGAAACCAGGTCGTCTGCGTGTGCCATTTTAATCAGCTCACTTAACAAATCAAAAGTCTGGACTGCCTGGTCCAATGAGTATTAAGCCTCTAAGGGTTAATGCATGTTTTTCAAAGATGGGTCAACCCGCTTACAATCATCATTTGGCTCCCTTCCCACTGGCAAAAAGAGCTGGGTCTAGCCCCAAACTTGCAATTTGCAGGGCCTCTGTCCCCCTGCAGCTGCATGTCTGGTAACACCATCATGCTGGGTTAGCATTGATGATGGCACAGTGTGACAGAAATCAGGAAAGTAAACAATGTAGAACAACATGGAAGGAATTCTGGGCGTTGAAAGTGTGCTTTATTGTTGTGCTCATTTATCTGTCCGAATCTCTCTCACCAGTGCTAAGCAATGTTTATCGAATATAAGAAGAGTTGTTTCCTCTTGTTAGATCAGATGTGGCTGGCGAGGTGTGTTGGCATCCATATGTTGCACTCAATGGTTTCACATAAATTAGCGTGTCTCTATTTTTCCCCACTGCATGGCGATCAGAGCCGAGGCAATTTTAACGTGGGTCGCTTGCCGAGTCATTTAGCCCGGGTAGACGCGCTCAGTGAGCTACTCCCACTGCCACTAAAAGCAGATTATGCGCAGGTTTAACAGGTTTTTCAGCCAGTGGGAAAGGGGTACTTGTTTTGGCAACAGAGCGTGAAGTCAGCGTTTTGTGAAAACATCATGAAGGCATGGATCCATATTCTTTTAGTGGTGTAGGGGTTTCCTTTACCAAATGTCTTTGTGGAAATTTGGCAAAGAATTCCAAATGGGAACTCCTAAACTTTGTAAAAACCCCTCCCAAAAGAGCTTAAGCTTGTTATGTAGCAAGATAGATAATATTAAATGCGTTTTAATAAGCGTGAAATTGCACGTGTGTATAAAGATAAGTGGCCCAAAACTGCACTAGTAAATTGTGTCTCTTGCATTATAAAAAAAAAAATTTTAACATATTTTTATATTATTTTGTATAATTATTTCTGGACTGAGAACGTATTGGACACATTTAAGCTTTTTAGTGGACTGGCTCCATCGAACTTCTCCAATCCTCTAACATAAGAGCTCTGCTGTCAACCAGCCAATTTCTCAAAGATGTTCTGCGTTGCACATCCAACATAAAGGTGATTAGGTTTCTGCAGTGGCTGCCCTAAATTTAAAGGATGGTTTACCCTACTGCACAGACAGTTGAGATATTTAAATCACTGCTTAAGACTCGTCTCCCTCCTTTGGCTTTCATCTCAAGCTTATGTTTTGTAATGTCTTATATATTTGTATTTATTTATTTATTTATTTTTCTTAGTAAAAAAAAATGTAATGTGATTCCTTATACAATACACTAAGAGAAAATTAAAAGCAGTGCAGATACATTAATTCAGATATGTTTTAAAATGTAATACTATACATACAGTGTAGTGTATATAAAGGTCTTATATACAGTATGAATCTTTGCATTGCGATAATAGTTTTAATTCTCAGCCTTGGGAACGTGACTATAAATAAAAGGGACAGCTAAGAAAAAATGGGCAGGGCGTCTTATATAAAGAGGATAGCTTTTATCATAGTGAGAGTTTAGGTCCATTGTGCCTTTTTTTTGTAGATAAAAATGTCTTCCCTGATAGGCAACGGGCTTCTTCATTGTCACCCCTCAGATAAATGAGTTCTAACAGTAACAGGAGCTCTATATATAAAGTGAGTATTTTTAGAGCCTTGGGGTTATGGGGAAAATCATGCCATTCTAGAACTAAAATAATATTGCCAATGCTCCCTAGAGGCCTGGCAAAACCTTGATACAGTGGAACAAGATTGAAGTGAGGGAGTTGAAAAGGAAAGGAGCTACAGGCTGCTGTAGATCAACATCAGGGAAACTTCTGACCTCACATTTTGTGGCCACATACCTTTGCAGGGGTACTGGATTGTCATTTGTGACTAAGACCTAAAGCCAAGCTGTTGTCAGTTAGTTTCCCATTTTCATGCTAGCTTCAGTTTCTGGTGAAGTCCATCAGATTCCTGCTTAAACTGTCCTCAAATCTAAGAGTTTGTGGTGAGTTGCACGTTTGCAAGGTTACAAGTCCACATTCAGAAGAAACTGTTTACCAGCATCACAGATCTTCCACATTACCAGACATGGTAGTGAGGTTATCTTCTGATTATTCCAACCAATGCTTTGCTTTACACCCAGAAGCTCAATGTTAGCTTCATTAAATTAAAGCAAAGATCGGCCTAAATACCAAGTAGTTTTTCTTTACTAGCTCTACATGTTTACATTTGTGACATTAGGACAGAAAATAATTTTTCCTGGCATGCCTCCATTAGTCGACTGGCATGTACTGGCATGACTGTATGGTTTTTTTTGGGGTGTCAAATTCGTGAAATTATCAACCATGCTACATTTCCTTTGAGTTTGAGAGTTTTCAAATCCATTACTATTGTCCTGAGTTCATGTGAATAGAGATGAATCATCCAACCTTGTTTGTCACATCACCATTTCTTTTAAACACTCTAATTATTGCTCTTACTGTAGAGATGATTACTGTAAGTTTAGGTAGGAAGGCTTTTACATTTTGCAAGTTCCTGAATTATGAAGATCAACACCAGCTGTTTTCTTCAATAGTAAAAAATATTTTTGCACAATCTGATAAACTTAAAGATAAGATGAAATGAATGTTATTTTACTGTCCTTTAAAGTCCTTTTTGTACTTATATTTTGTACTTCTAACAACCAATTTACCATATATAAAAAAGAAAACAAAAAAATGCTGCAAATAGATCTGTATTGTTTGTGTTTTATATGCAAAAAGCAATTGCATAAAACTGCACAAATCAAAACTGCAAGTTTTAACTACAGAATAAGAAGGAACTGTAATGCTGTAAGTGATACCGATACCTGGCTGTGCAGTATCAGCCGATACCGATACCATAATAATGTAAAATAATTGCCATCATGGATTTTTCAAGCTGCTGCCTACCTTTGTGAAACAGGAAAAAATCTAAAACAAAGTGAATCAAGTAGAACTTTTCATTGCCTACCAGGAGTGGGTGACAATAGTTGAATAAACTTATAGCTCTCAAAATGGTATTGGTGCCCTATTTGTTGGTACTCGCCGACACCGATACCACCATTTTAGGGCAGTATCGGGGCCCCGTCCGATACTGGTATCGGTATCGGTGCAACACTAGCTGTAATACTGTAAATGACTGAACGAATCCTTTAAATCTAAAAAATGTTAGTATAATATTAGTAGTTGAATAATCAAGCCGCAGCATAAATCCCACACTTCTGATTCTTACAGTTTTTGTTGGTTTCCTATTTTTGTCTTGCAGAAACTGGTCCGAGAGGCTGAGCAGCTTCAGAAGGAGCACGTGTGGCAAGACGGCGTGACGGTAATGTAGAGTGCCAACCCTTCTTTGTCTTTCCCTGGATCTTTTTTCTCCTTTTCAAAAACTGTATGAAGAAATATAATTACTCACCTCCAAGTCGTTACCAATGAACTCCCTTAAGTCGAGCAATTTTAAACCTTTTAGACCTAAATGACAATGTGATCAGCATCACAAAAATAATTAGTGCTAAAGGATGCTCTTTGTTTATGCATACTCAGTAAAATGTTAAAGATCAGTAATTTTATGCCCTTTTCTGTATAAAGAAGCTTGCAGGGTTTTTTTTTATGCATTGAACTTTGCATTTCTTGCAGGTGACCTTTAAAGCTACAAGGTGCATACTCTTAATCTAGAAAAAGAAAATGGTATTACTGTGCTGTATATGCCAGTGTGCTTAACTGTTCAATTTGTTCATGTTTAAATGCCAAGAAAATATTAACACTTATACCCAAAATTCTTCATACTCTAGATTTAAAATTATTTTCATTCAACCAAGAAATTTGTTTCTGTTGGAAAGAAAAAGAAAAGGTATCTTTCAAAAGACGATAAAATGGTGTAGGAAGAGGGTTGACTTTAAAAAATATACACATTACATCTAACATTTACTTTTGAAGCTGAAATTTTGAAATTATGTACAGTATGCTCTTTTGATTGTTTAATAGTACAGCTATTAAACCCTTATTTCAATTACAAAGCAGTTTTCTGCATATTTCCACTGGTGTTATGTCAGCTGAGCTTTGGTGATCAACCCGGGGTCTTTACCATAAGAAGGCCTCCTTACCATGACCCTAATGTTTAACTCTCTTCCCAAATTCTTGGTTAGATTAACCTTTAGATAAAACTGAACTGCTGAACAAAGAAAGTGAAATCAAAAGCTGTGTTTTTATTTACACAATGAGGCTCACTACCCAAGGTGATTTTTGTCAGTTTGTGGTTCAAGTTCTGGGGACCAAAAAATGATTTGGATAGTTTTGACTCCAAAAACTCGCTTCTCTAGTCAATGGGGATTGACTGTTTCACTGTTCTGTGCCCAGTGTGCATGCTATAAGAAAATATGTCCCTTTTTTCTCTACATAACTCTGAATAGAGATATCCCCGTTTTTCTGGGAAATCATGGTTGTGTTGCTGATGAAGGTTCTCAGTCATCCAGGTCAAAGTCATTCCGTAAAAATTCAAAAAATAACCTAAATAATCCAGGAAGCTTTCTCAATTCAAATGTCTGGATCCGCAGTGAGTTTGAGTCTTAAGATAAGACTCAAACTTACTGCGGATCCAGACATTTGAATTGAGAAAGCTTCCTGGAGAGGTGGCGAAACGTCTTCAAATCTTGAAAACCAAGTCCAGTGGATATTTTTTGAATTTTTACGGAATGACATGGCTGTGTTTGAATATTTTTTCACTTTTATAATCCAAAATATTTAGACTTCTTTTACTAAACTGGGCTATTTTAAGATGAGCTGTAATTATTTTAAGGGTACTTTCAAATTTATTATACCTTTTGTTCTGTTTCTGAAAGCACAAACAGATGTATTATACAGTATATCAGACCTTGACTCAATTATATACATTCAATAATAATATATAGACAGTTTAGCTTTTTGACTCATGCAAATACCACCCTGACCCATTAGCACACCAGTAAAATCATCCGAAACTGACTCAAAAGGGGGAAAAACAATCAGTTTAAGGAAAGACCAGATAAAAAAGACAGTTAGCTGTTGGTATTTATTTCTTGTTGTCTTTACTGAATTTGAATAATATCATATACTGTATTTGAAATACGTTTGTTTTCTGGATAATAACTGATATCACTTTGCATTTAAAACTCTTTAAAAAGTTAATATTAAGGCAATTATTTTATTTGACTTGAATAGGATATCATTCAGGCTTTTCAGTGCTGCAGCAATAGAAAATATTGGAATTTATATTTATTTCAAATATTGTATTTAGTTCTAACATTTGTCGAAAAAGTTAAACACACCATATCTGGTTGTACAGTTATACTGAAATTTCAAATAGCAGTTTAATATTGATGTCATTCATTTTTATATACCTGTTTATGTTTTGTATAAATATGTAAAATAGATATGTATACAAATTCCCTGTTGTCATATCATCAGTCTCCAGAGAGACTAGCTCACTGTCATGGTACACTACCCACAAATGGATTTTTAACCTGATGCCTCCCGGGGTATATTTAAGAAAAGGCTCTAACTGATTCAAAGCGAATAATTATAAGCCCTACTTCTCTGCAAAGTCCATTTTTATTCATGGTTGCTTACACTCTGAAGCTGTAGTCTTGCAGTGGCTAGGCTGCGTTCCTCCTTTTCACCCTACTGGTTTGAAGGAGGGAGGATGCGGCATGGCTGTCCCTTCATCTTAGGCCCCAGGGGGTTGATGCCTGCCTCTCTCTCCCTCTCTTTCTCTCTGTCCGGCTCCAATGCACCTCAATCGAATGTGTAGCCATGCAGGAAGTGGTGCCTGGGTCACAGTCCTCCACACATAGCACACCTGTTCATAAGTAGCTGCATCCAATATAGCATCAAGAGCCCCTCAAGTGGAAAAACCAGCTCTCTCTTTAATCCCTACCCCGTCCTCCTCCTTCCAGACTTTCTTCACTCCATCTTTTTTTCCCTCTTCTGCTCAAAACTCTTTCTGTCCAGTTCAGCTTTGTAGTCACCCTCACTCTCTTCACTTCCACCTCATTCACATACGTTATTCTTATCAGTGTGTGTGCTAAATCAGGCATGAAAACAGTTAGAATATACCATATTGTTGCAAATGCTGCAAATGAATCCCAGTAGTGCTTCTCCATTAATAATGTATTGAGCTGATTTCATTTGCCTTTATAATTAGGCCAGGTAATGAATCTCAGCAGGGGAAAGTGTGAACCCATTTAAAAAATATCACAGAAAGAAGGTGGCGGGTGGTGAGGGGAGAATCTGGTGGGGTGTTTAGATATGTAACATCCCTCCTAAAAAGATTTTTTTTTTCTTTTTCTGTTTGTAGATTTTGTGCTTTCTTAATTTCTCTTTGGCTGAACACTCTGCTGACTGACACTCTAATTAGATTAGTGCTCCGTGCTCTTCGGGCATATTAGGAGGAACACATTGCATTTTAAACTAGCGGGTGGAGCAGCCTGTCAAATGGAAAGAAAAAGTGTTGATGTGTGAGCAATGCTTTTTTTGGGGGGGGTAAATTTGGTGCTTGTGTGTGTCGTCATAGGAGTGTAACCTACGCCAAGGGTTCAATAGGCTACAGTACGTCTTTTAAGTCTTTTAATGAGCAGGTACAGTGAATCTCTACTGTACATGGCCCTGTAAGTGGGAGCTTTTTGTTTTAAAAAATTCAGGTTATGAAAAAAACAGCAGAACTTTTTATTATTTCTCTTTAAAATATACATACTTTATTATTTGGCTGAACATCACAGCAGAATGTCTTCAATTCAAATCGTTGCCTTGGATCTTCTTGGATAGAGTTTGCATGTTCACTGTGTGCATAACGGATTTTTCTTTCAGCATGCTTGCCTCAACTGTCAAGAAATCATGACTCTTATATCAATTAGTCTTTTTAAATTTTTTCATTCAGGCATGAATGTTGGTTTGTTTGCTGCAATACTAAGCTGGCAGCCATACCCAGACTCTTATTCAGCGGTTACAGGAAGTAGGCGCCTGCCTTCTGGATGGATGGATGGATGGATGGATGGATGGATGGATGGATGGATGGATGGATGGATGGATGGATGGATGGATGNTGGATGGATGGATGGATGGATGGATGGATGGATGGATGGATGGATGGATGGATGGATGGATGGATGGATGGATGAATTTGATCTGGAGCATATCTATTATGCAATGCTAGTTTGCAGCTTTTTTTACGTTAAATTATTTTTGCTTGTTGAAGCATTTTGTCCTTTGCCTTTTTTGTTATCGTTTGTTGGTCTAATTTTTGTGTCTGCTAGTCTTATTTATATGTCTGTAGGACCTTCTGAATTACCTGTGTAATAATATATTTCCATGGTGTTTGCACACTTCAGCCACCATGGCTTATTTTAGAAAATGTCTCTGTTTATTTCATGCAGTTAACCTTCAGTTTATATATATTTATTGATCCGATCCATCTCAGACCTTTCTGATATATTCTTCAGGTAGAGTAGTGTAACTCAACCAACACATTTTTTGTTTTACAAAATGAGACATATTAAGAAAAAAAATGAACTCTTGTCCTCAAATCTCTTCTTCATAATTGTTCTTTGAAATCCAATCATATATATTTTGCATTTGCTGTTACTGTGTGTCCATGTCAAACCAAAAAAAATTAGAGAAATTGAAATCCACACTTTTATTGGAGGTAGTTGACAGCAGCTTTGAGCTGTTTTTTTTTCCTCAGTGCTTCGAAAATGCATGTTATTTCATTATGTTAGTGATCATAAAATCTAAGTTTCTACTTCACGTCTGCCATAAATGTCATTGTATCCCACTGACTGTCTTAGTCGGCTCTTTTTCAGACATTTGCTTATGTAGCAGTCAGAGAAAGGGCAGGAAAAATAGCTGAAGGAAGACAATAATAATCTGAGAAAACTGACATGAGAGAAACAGAATTTGTTATATGGAATTGTTGACGTTACACCAGTTCTTGGTGTTCAAGGCTTTCAAAGCCGTCCCTGAATCAGAATCAGAAACTCTAAACTACAACCTAAACTTTAATTTTCTTCTATCCAACTACATTTATCTTTTATTATTAATTTTTTTGCGCTTGGTATTAGCACATTCTCATTTAGGGCTGAGCGATATGAAGAAAATCTAATATCATAATATATTTGGGCTATAATCGCGATACACAATATATATCACGATATGTTTAAATTACCTTCAAAAACAATAAAGTACATAAAATTGCAATGATATACTAGTTTAAACTTTAAGATTCAAATCTAAAACAATTTATTTTAACCACATGAAAGCTTTTCATTAATGCTACTGCCACATTACTAAATGTATTTC